TCAACAATATTTTCCCAATTTCTAGCACAATAGTCAAGAGCTTTTTTTTCAAATTCTGGAAAATTCCACATCCCACCCAAACCATAAATATCGTGAGATGAATACCAATATTCAGAAATTCCAATGAACTTATTAACCGAAAAATCTATTTTCGGTGTGTGAACACCATTAAATAAACAGGGATTGTCTAAACAGGGAGCGTATTTATTTAATAATTCATAAGTGTCTTTTAAACAAAGATTGAAATCTCCTGTTCCTTGTAGAGTATAATATGGAGGGGGTAATGTCCTATCGGTAAGTAAAAGATCTACAGGCAAACAAGGATCTTTTAATAGAATGGTTGGTTGTTCTCTAGCAGTGTCAGGATTGACTATTTGTTCATGTGTAGAGGTATATTTTTTAATTCGACTCTCTATGTATCTACGACGTGCTTCATTAGTTCCAAAGCCTAAAAATGTTGTGACAAATACATTATAGTCCAATCTATTTCCGTCCAAAGTATACAGTGTGACTTTAGTCAAATCATTGGCATGTTTTTTCGCTTCAATTTTATTTGGCTCAAATGCAATCTGTGTGCTAGCCCCACCCATGTCTAAAAATCCAAATGTAGATGTTTGATCCGAATTTTTTTTTCCGTCGGCAATAAGTGATTTACCATCATCATTAACGAATCCATTCATCAAGTAATTTACAGCAATCCAACCGTATATTCCTTCCGTTTCGCCAGTTATGACTTGAACATGATCCGAACATTTATTAATTTTAAATCGATAATTAAATTGGATATAATCACAGGCATTTTGAAGTATGGCTTGTTGTTGAGATGGCAGCAATAGTCGCATTCCAGCAGTAGCCAGTAAATATATAGGCGTTTGATGGATTTCATTTGTAGGTATGACTTTGTCTGCGAATTGTAATAAAGGTTTTAAATGCAATGGTCCTACTTCAGTTGGTTCATTTGCAAATGAAGATATACCTGGATAATTAATGAATTATTGGATAAAGAAAAAAAATATGTAGATATATACATATATATTAACATTGAAAAATTAACGTATAGCTTAGCTCTCTTTTTAGTATCTTTAACATTCAATTTCCATATTTTCAAATGTGCAAAAGCCGCAAAAATCATCTTTTATATTTGAAATGCATTATAATGTCATGCAAAGTGCAAATGAATGTAAAGAAATGTGATTCATTTTTTAACAAGGTACCTGGTTCTACTTTAAGTTGCCAATTTACGCCATGCTCGTCAGCACGTTCAACTGTAGGCAATACATGAAGATCTTTCTCATCTTTGCCCTGTCTAACAATACTATGATCTTTCCAAGAATATATTTGAATCCTTGATCCTGAACTTCCTGCATCTATAACAATGCCAAATTTTCTATTTAAATACCAATGTGACATTGGTTTGTGATATAATTAAAATAAATGTATAATAAATGTATAAATGGTTATAAATTCTATTAATGTACAATTTAAAGAATGTCTATATTTTTAAATTTTAGAAAATTCTTTTTGGATTTTTTATTATTTTCATTGTTGGACAAAAAAATAGTCTATTAATATTAATATTAATATATACTGCTCTGAAAAAATTGCTATTGGCCAGAACTTGGGGGCTTTGCTTATATCACTGCCATATACGGTAGTTAAATCACATAGATTTATCTAATTATTTATGTGGTTTTTAGGGATCTCTCTGACCAAAATTGCAACTGGAGAGAAAATCAGACCATGTTTGCTTAGCACAATAATGAGATACAAAGACTTTGAAAATTTAATATAAATCGCTCGCATCAGGTGATAATAAATTGACTTTGCAAAATTATTACACTATTTACAATTACATTTCCACCTTATTTTTTTGGAACCAACAGCAATCAATAAAATCGAAGGTACCAATAATGCTTATCTAAGAAAAATTTCTTTGATTCAATCTAAACGAGAAAGCAAGGAGTCAAATAACTTTTTCGTATATAGAAGCAGTGTTCAAAAAGGATAAACTTCTTGTTAATAAAAGAACCAATCAAACAATTTAAGGTGTTTGTACATTATTATTTTGACCACCATGACCAATACTTTCTCCCTCCTCATCAACATCTAAATCTCTTATTTCATGATTTTCATTGTATCTTTTGAAGATTTTCTACTATATATCAATAGCTAATCTATATTGCAAGATCATCAACTTTGCCATCCTGTTCACTTAATACTATTATTACTATCAGAGGATGAAGATAAGGGAAGCGAAGTTGAATTAACAATCAGATATGCATGTAAATTAATTAGCTCTTTATCAATAAGCCTACTGATTTAACATATGCGCTAATTTTGTTTGAACCCCAAAATCCAGTACGGTATGATCATAACGTTATGAATACTTTACTAGCAAAAACCCATTGGTTTTGAGGTGGGGCCATTGGTTTGACGGGTTGATGTATAGTAAATTAGTTTTTTTAGTGGAGCAAATAATTTTTTTTAGGGTAATTATCATTCTACCGACCAGTTTACACATTAAAAATACTCGTGTTTAACATCGAGACACAATAAGACATAAGGTTTGAAAAAAGGCCCAAAAAACCAAATCGGCTGATATGAGTTTCTTCAATTATTTTTATTTCTTCTCGAACGTGTGTTTCAAGCTTTTTTTTCGAGTCATTATAATTGCAATCATTGAAAAAGTCACGTCTTAGTAAATTAATTAATTGAAAGTTATCTGTTGTTAATAAAATTCCATTTGTTTATAAAAAAATTTAACGGTTGCTTGTTCCCGGTTAATTGCTTATACACTTTTAGAGTTGTCATTTTTTACCTTTTTCAAAAATACTGAATCAACTATAATGGTTATTAATAATAACAATAAAGGAAAGAGGTTGAAGTAATTGATGAGGAATTATCAATGATGATTAATTTATCTTATATACTATGAATTTATTCATTACGCATAAGAGCCTGTCGAGTACATAGTAACTTTTTCCATAGAGAAGTTGTTCTTAGATAGAGGTATTTTTCTATAAGTTTAATAGTAATTATATCTAATATGGAGAGGTACAACTGTATATGAATTAACTTTTTAAACTTTTCATCTTTCATCTTGCTTATTTTATCCTTAAATTAAATTATAATAATATTTGAAATAAATTTTCTTTTATTATTGTTGTTAAAGCCACATTTATGATAACAATTCTTTGTTAACGCATTGATTATATTATTTCCGACAGATCAATAATGATAGATAGTAATGGTAACATAGGATGATCAAGATTATACTCCAAGAACTCTCTTCAGAATATAACATGTCATCACAGTTTATGCGGTATAAGATTTATATCACAAGCTGTTCACAATTTTATTCACAAATTCCATGTTATTTATTCAAACAATAATCATAATGAGGTTGATGCTTTGATTCTTAAATGCTCTTTAGGAAAAATATATAATTCATTTGAAATACATTAAAACATTATAAACATGTCTGAAAATGAACTTGTAGATGCATTCCTATGAAAAATACAGAAGAAAATCCTCCTTCATGACAAAACTAGTTGGCCCTGTTGACAATTCAACATTATTTTTTACATAAATGACATATGCCTTAATTTGTTTAATTGTATTTTTATTGGTGACGAAAATAAATTTATGAATGTTATTATGTGACTTGTGGTTCAGTATTAGTGTTACGCGATCATTAAAGGAACAACTACAACAAAGTAAGCGAATTTATTATCATTATTATTATCAAATAAATCTAGATTTAGAAAAGATTGAATATTCCAAAAACAAAGTTTACACTTACATGACAACTCAAAATAAAGTTTTGATATCACCACAAAAATATATTCAGGTGTTGTTTGCAATTATATTTAAATCAGTTGGTTCAACTTGAGTTCTAAATGTAAAATAGCAACATTCTGACTTTTTTTTTTTTTGTATTATTTTCATTAACTATATAAATAATATTAACAAAGATAATAAATATACTTCTATTATTATCACAAGGAAAAAAATAATAATTATTATTCGTTGGATACAATGTGATTCGAATAAAACTTATTATTATTATTTGAATAGAAAAACGTAAAAATTTATATATTTTAAATTCATAAAACTCTTGTAGTGCATTTAACAAGTTGAGCATCAAATTCGCGTTTTTGCGTAAAATGTTGCTCAACCCAGCCGGACAAGAAAGCAGTGAGACCGAAACCGAACAATAATAATTATTTCAGATGGGGACGAGAGGGAAAAGAACGAGAAGAAAAGTGGGAGCAAAATGACTTTTCAAGCCGCGGGTCGAACTAATTTTGATGAGGAGGATCAAATATTCTTTAAATATTAATTAAACTGTTGTTTGCTTCATTTTCTTGATAAGCTTTCAAAACCGAGGCAACAGTCCTTTTTGCTGAGAATAACGATAAAGAATCTTTTGAATTTTTAGTAAAAAATGGAAGATGATAGCAATCATATAACTATAATTCAACTGTTACAAATACAATCACAAACGATAATCCACATAATGGTTGTAACATTGATGAAATAAATATAGGGAAGGTGAGTCGACAGTTAAATAGTTGATTGATCACAATAACAGAGCAATTCAACAAGATAAATATCTTAAATGTTCTAAAAGTGATTTATTAAAAAATACAAACTTTAAATTATCTCATCGATCATGGACTCGAAAGCGTGATCCAATATCTGAGATAGTTGCCGAAATACTAGTCCAATTGTTGAGCCATTTTTGAAATACGAGGTTCAAAGGCATCACAAAAAATTGATATTTTATGGATAAAGAAATTCTAATACAGATTCTCTTTCGCAATCGTCAGGTTATGAAAGAGTTCAACAATTTCCAAAAACAATTATTAAATTAAATAAAAATACATTCACACTTTCATGTATAATATACATAATAGTATCATTGATAATATATAGTGAAAGTACAAAAAGAATCAAAATATTTTTCTAAAGAACTGAATTTTTCTCCTATATACGCCCTAATACAAATAATAAACTATACAAGTAAACCAAGGAAATTCGTTGGTGTCAACACTTGAAAATGCCTTCTATTCCAAAAGCAGAAATTCATTCACATTCAGCATCATCATACCCATTGGATCCTATCGAGCATTCTGCAAAATACGGATTCAGTAGATGAATGGCAATTTTTGCAAAAGTTTTGGTATGAAGTGTCATTTTTCCAAGCAAAATAGCTGGCAAACAATGCAGGATCATCTGCCACCTTCTTCACATAGGCAACCAATTCTTCAATTGTCTTGTAATCTGATACTTTGATAACTGAACGAGGAGGTATGTAATCGTCAATATCAGAAGCACCCATATAGATTGGAATGGCATCAATTAACATTGGATCGTAGACTTTCTCAGTAACATAGCCTATTTGTTGATAAAAATAAACAACATTGTGGGCATTAGAAATTTTTTTTGACGTGAGCAAAGGAACTCATAATATTATGGTTTTGCACAACAATATTGGCGGGCTTGCAAGTTTTGTGCAAGCTTACACCCGAATTAAATTTCCCAATATCCTGATGTGAAAAAAACATTCATATTATCAAAAATGAATACCTTACCTTCACAATTTGAATTCTCTAGTGCTAAAATAAACTTGTAAGGGCTTAACACATCTCGTTTAATCTCAGCCATTTTATCGCTAAAATGACCCTGTCTTCCATTTTTCAAGCCATACTTGACCAAAATGTCGTTTGGGAAATCTTGGGTATGCAAACATTTTCCAAAAGAGTGAACAATGGTAAGATTCATGAGACTCTGCACGAACTCATTTCTGTTATTACGTGGCGAACAATTAGTTGCCATCCAAGCAATAAGTACATCACTTCGCTTTTTATCAAAAGGCACGTGTGTTTTATAGAATGAAGGAATGTCTGATGTTTGAATCGGGTGTGTGGGTTGGTTGAAGTCAAAAAGTCTGGCGGGTGAACCAGCTGACATATCAAATAATTCTTGGAAACTTTCAAGTCTTATGAATGGATAGTAAGCAAGTGATTCACCGCTAAAATAAAGCCACCACGCTTGCTTTGAAGTTCGTGGAGGCAACTGCATTATATCGTAGAATGGCGGTTGATCTATGCCAAGCCAATACACAGCATCTACAAAAACAATATCAATGTCTCTCCATTCAGTATAGTTTGCCGTCCAAGTGTATTTTTGACCACCACAAAAGTATTCTCCAGGGTAATACAACCATTCAGTCCAGAAGTGACATGGTGCATAACCTTTGGGCCATAAGGCCAAGCTTGGTGCCGATGGTTTAACATGCTTCTCAAACAGATGTTCGAAAAAATTTACTAATTCTGGTGGATAAGGGCAAAGCTTCTTTGAGAATTCTATCCAGTCAAGGTTACATTCAAAGCATAAGTACTGCCAGTGAAATATTTTGAGGTGACGATTAGGAGGACCTCGAATCCTAAAAGTACGAGGACCTGTAAGTGGTTTTCCCTGAAATGCTTTAACATCATTGCATTGTGGTTTCTTATACTCTTCATTAAAAGGTGACGATGGTAGTGGGGACTGTGATGGTGAGAATTGCGGAATTTGTCGAATGTCACTTTCCTCTTCCCAACCCAGGTATGCTGTAAACAGCAAAATAGATAAAACAGCCACTACAAGCATCACAATAACTTTTTGGAGTGCCATCGTACTCTATTATTATATGATCTAATGCTAAATGAAAAAAATGCTTGTTAAGAAATTAGTTGAAATCGAAGAATTTGAATATATTTGTGAAAAAAAATTTATGCGTGTGAAATTGAAGTTTAAATTTATGTAAAATTGGCTAATTTGAATTTCACAGCATATACAAAATGTATTGTAATTAATTATACATTAATGTGAATCTAGCTAGATAAATTTTCATTATTAAAATCATTTTACATGTTAACAAAATTATCAGTTTTTTTTTTTAAAAAACAATCTTTTCAAATATAAGTGGATCAAGTTTTGTTCTTTCTGAGGTCATTGTAATATGGGCATGCTGCAACAAAATCAGACAAAGCGAACATTAGTATTACCAAGAATTTCAGGGATCAAAATTTAGCTATTATCATCACAATTAGTTTTATAATGTCATTTGTTAAGTGATACACCCCTACAAAAAGTATCGACTCACTTGATGATCCGTCAAAATAATCGAATAAACGGGTAATACAAATACTCGTTTTTTTACTAAGCAAATCGATGTTGTGTATTAGTAAAA